CAAAGTGATTCCAATTAGGCTACAAACGATTCTTCTTCGTTTAAAAGGCTTGGACTACGAGGCCGAGCTAAGTAACGTGTCTGATGGCTTGGATGATAGGAGGAAGAAGAAGCCAACCCGGGATCGACGGAAGGACGATCTTGGGGTACAGACAGAGTGAGTAGGCGGCCATGAAACCAGAGGGAGGAGTGTTGGCTATTTGTAGTTAGGCTGAGGCGACTGGTATGCGGAAGGGCAACCGGTCTAGGAGTCAAGGGAAAGGTCCTACTCTGTCTATAAGGATGAGAGAGGGTCTGGGATGTGCGGATAGACCGGCTTGAAAAGGGCACCAACGAAGTGTATGGCATGAATGGTCAAACCAAGGCGAGGGGTCCTGTTCAGTTGGTCACCACGGGGATGCAACCAAAAGAGGGGTAAGGCACCTTCAATGTAGGGAAGCACTGCGAGCACTTCCTTGGGAAGCACATCCGGCCTGTAGAAGTAGTAGCCGCTTCTGCTCTTGTTGAGGTGGTGGAATCCCTTACCATCTCAAAAGACGGCCAAGGTTACTGACTCCTTAGTCACCCCGCAGGCACATCTGGACCACATGAAGCTCTATAAATGAGGTGTGTTCGAGTCCTTAGAGGAGCTAGATGGTGAGACCTGCTAGCTGCCTGGGTGACCAACTGAAAGGTTTTAAGGTTTTGGTAGGCAACAATGTAGGTGGCCTTTGGACTCGCAAACATTGTTCTACCTAAGACTACACTAGATGCATTTGTATGGTGAGTCTGCACATTGGGACCATGCGCAACGGCTAAGGCGATCTGTAATATCTAGCTTAGCCAATACAAAAGCATTAGTGTGTCAGGACTACATAACAGATGTAGTTGGTGCTTCCTTGTGGCATACTGCGTAGCCACACGGGCCCTGCAGGGCCCGTCCCGCACTTTCAGCCTAAAAGCCTAGAAAATAGGGCTTACAGGCCCCAGTCGTTTCAGCCTAAAACTGAAAAACGAGGGCCTGCAGGCCCTATTCCGTTTTCAGCCTATTTCTGGGCCTTTCAGGCCCAAAGGCTTTTCAGCCTGAAACGGAGGGCCATTTTCAGGCCCTCATTGTGTTCGACCTACCTAAGACTCAGRCACAAAAACAGGGTTTCGGGAACAGGCTATTTCTGGCCTGTTCCCCACGACAGCAAGCAGGAGCTGCAGCTGCARCCCCTGCCTCCCTTCGGCATTGGCAAGAGCAGCCTCCTTGACTGCCTCGCCTGCAGTCAGGAGGCACCCGGTAGTACATAGGAAGTTCCCATGCACTTCACGGGTAGGTAGTTGGACAGTAGGGACGAGTAGTCTTCAGGATTCGGCCRCAGCACTCAGGAGGAGCGCTGCAGTAGTCTTCAGCGCTGGGCGCCCATAGCTGTAGGTGTAGTCTTCAGCGTCGGGCGCTAGTAGGTGGTAGTAGTAGCGTTGGAGGGAGATGGTTGGCGGAGGCCAGCGGTACTTACCTGTGGCACCATAGCTCCAGCTCCATCTTCGAGGTACCTGCATCAAGGCGCCAACTTCACAGGTTAGTACTGGACACAGAGAGAGAGAGAGAGAGAGTTCTTCTTCTTCCTTTTCAAAGTCCACCATCTCTTCTCACCCTCTCACCACCTGACTTCTCAGACTACGACAGAGAGAGAAAGAGTTGTGACTTTGGGACTTGACGACATTGGATCCAGACTCAACATTTGGGATTCAGACATTTTGACGAGGGACTATTTGGGCCTGTGCCGAAGACTTGGTGTTGACGACATTCCCATCCTCCCCTCCTCTTCGTCTAACCCCCTTCTTCTTCGTCTGTCTATGGTTAAAGCTGGCGCAGTCTTCCTGTGTGAAGCGCCAGACCCCTTTCACACCATGGAACGATGATGATGATGTGTGTTCAGGGCTGCATTGCAA